GTTGCAATCCCGTTGCCGGTCCCCAGTCTGGTACGGGGGCAACACTGAGGGTTGCGATCCGTTGCCGGACACAGAAAAAAAAAAAAAAAGACAAAAAAAATAAATAAATAAAACCCAGCTGATTGGTTTCTCTTTTTTTGTTTGTTTTATTTTTTTATTTTTTTTTTTCCTTTTTGTCCTTTTTTTGTGACCGGTAATGGGATCGCAACCCTCGGTGTCGTGCCCGCACCGCGCTCAACTAGTGAGCGGACCAGTCTCTATATGGGATCCGAACCCTCGGTGGGAGTGCCGCTGTGCTCCCAAGCGCCGCACTCTACCGAGTGCGCCACCGGGCCGGCCCTGTTTGTTTTATTTTAAAGTAATGCTCTTAAAGGGTATTTTTGAAAATTTCCCTTCAGCATTGTAATTTTTACTGTTAAAGATTCTAGAGAAAAATGTTAAAGGAACTACTTTGATTTTTATTTTAAATGTTTTATACTTGTTTTTCAATCCTAGCTCAATCTCCATCTCCAAAGAGAAAAAAACAGCACAAGAAATACAGAAGTGTTATTTCAGACATATTTGATGGAACAATCATTAGTTCAGTGCAGTGTCTGACTTGTGACAGGGTGAGTATGAGGTAATTATAACACAAAAAAAATTTCTGTCAAATGCTTCTTTAAAAAAACCTGACAAAATGGTGTGAAAAGTTTAATTTCTTTTCCTTGCTAGTGATGATCATACATGCATTTCTTGTTTTTGCATCAATATAAATTGATTCTAGGAGATGAATTTACTTTTTAGGAAGTAACAGCAACATCCCATGTGTTTTTAAATTTTATTATTATTATTATTATTATTATTATTATTATTATTATTATTATTATTATTATTATTATTATTATTATTATTATTATTATTATTATTATTATTATTATTATTATTTTGGGTGGCTGGCTGGTACAGGGATCAAATCCTGGGCCTTGGTGCTATCAGCACCACACTCTAACCAACTTAGCTAACCAGCCAGCCCACACAACTCTTTTAAAGGATGGGACTTGAGCCATCATTGGACAGGCATGCATTAATAGGAGAAATTACTAATTTCTTCATCTATTTTGGTTACATATAAAGGTGAGAAGTTGCTTAGCAACAAAAGGTGGTAACACATGTATATTCTCTGAAGATTTATGAAATTAGTGTGCTGGGAAACTGTTACTGTCCACAGGCAAAAGGTTACGCATATAGCCTTTATGTTTGGTTATATTTATGGCTTGTAAATATTTTCCCATGTTAAAATTGGAGCTCAGATAATAAAGGTAGTATCAGATTCATGGACAGTAAGAAGGGCATAAATTAAAATTAGCATGAGTTCTTTAATAATACCTCTAAATCCCTCAAAGTTTCTTTGAGCTTAAAAATGGTTTGTAATGAGGAATATAATTAATAAATATTAAATAATATCTGCAAAACAAAACTTATTTTCCAATTATTATTTTAGTATCTTAAGTCAAATCTAAGGGCTTTTGATTGGGTAATTTTAAAGTAGTTTATTTTGGCACCAAATATTTAAGTGGAATTATCCAGAAATGTTTTTAGCTATTAAAATTAGATGCCAGATTTGGTATCCCTTTTTTAAAAAACATTTTAAAACTATCATCAAAGGTTAGTTTCTAAAAATAAATACAGAAGAGCTTAAGAGTTTGGACCTGAAGCTACAATGGTTGGGTTTGGAGTACTTCTCAATATCACAACGTCTGTGACTGTAATGGGGATGCTACTAACTTCTGCATAGGGTTTAAGTGAAAATTAAATTTGGAACAGTACCTGGTACAGAGTAAGTGTTTTTTGCTGTTATTACTATAAAAGCAGTTTGATCTTTTTTGTTTGTTTTTGCTTATTATTACTTCTTTTGATCTTTGGAGTCTAAAATCTAACCTTGTAAATGTTTGTGCTGGATTATTTTCATCCCGTTTTTAAAACATAAAACAATTTTAGGTGTCTGTAACCCTCGAGACCTTTCAAGATCTCTCCTTGCCAATTCCTGGCAAGGAAGACCTTGCTAAGCTGCATTCATCGAGTCATCCAACTTCTATAGTCAAAGCAGGATCATGTGGTGAAGCATATGCTCCACAAGGGTGGATAGCTTTTTTCGTGGAATATGTGAAGAGGTATGTATTTATTTTCTTTGTATTAATTGATTTGTTAAACCTGCTGTTTCTGCTGTACTGGCAGAGCACTTCCTTTTTTTTCTATCAATGATGTTTCAGGTTTGTTGTCTCATGTGTCCCTAGCTGGTTTTGGGGTCCAGTAGTAACGTTGCAAGATTGTCTTGCTGCCTTCTTCGCCAGGGATGAACTAAAAGGTAAGAAATATAATAATATCTGTGGCAAAATTGTTGTAGGTGACTCTAAAATACTACTGGGACTAAACATAAAATGTATTATAAAAGCTAAGTTTTAGGCAGCTTAAATGGCACTTGCCATATTGGCATAGAACTAGTATCTACTAGTATGGTAATATAAATGTAACAAGAAAAATCATATCCTGAAGGAATTTATACAAATTCCTGTAGTACAAAATAGTATGATATGTGTTGTGTCTTAAAGCTGTTCTTTAAAGCTATTCGAAGAGAAAACTCAACCAAGATAATGGACTTATTTATGTATCTGGGATTGTTTGTAAACTTCTCCATTTTATTTAAAGAAGGGAAAACTCAACCAAGATAATGGACTTATTTATGTATCTGGGATTGTTTGTAAACTTCTCCATATCATTTAAGGTCCTTCACTATTTTTGTGAATGCAACAGCTTGCTGGCAATCAGTAAATTTTTTTGAGTAAATAAATGGAAAGGATGTTATTTGAAGTAGGCCTTTAGGATTGAGAGGAGTAGAGGAGTGTTTTAGGTAAGTTAAGCATCATGAATGCATTCATGAACAGAGACTAAGAAAAGTAGACCTTGTTGTAGTGTGCTGAGGTAGCATGTGGCACAGTCAAAGAATTGGAGAACCAAAAGAAAATAATTTGCTGTTAATTTGAAAGAAATGACCAACTCTGTTTTATTTGTAGGTGATAATATGTACAGTTGTGAAAAATGCAAAAAGTAAGTCATGTGGACAGTGCTTTTAATTGCATATTGTGTATTTTTCTTGGTTATTTGATTTGGGCATATAGAGCTAAATTTGCCACTATATTTAGAAAAATACAAACCAGAGTGCTTTGTCCTACTATTAATAAAGTTGTTCTGTAAAACAAATTTGAGATGAAAATTTAACAAATTTAATAAGCTTATCAAAGGTGTTAAAAAAAAGTGTGTATTTTGAGGCATGAAATAAGTATGTGATTTTGCATAAGACATTTTCCAAAATAAAGCAATATTCTCTTCTGGATTACCATTTAAACAGGCTAGATTCAGGAACTGTGGAAGGTACATAGTTTCAAATCTGCATAAAATTCAGAAAGATTATACCAATTTTGATGTTGTCTGCTGTTATGGTAGCAGACTTGAAGGATAATTAAAGTCTGATTTTGTTTCTGTCTACTACCAGCTGCCTTTTTCTATCCTGTAATAAATTCAGACTTTAATGCTTTCTGGTGGTAAGTCAGAAAAAAATGGAGACTGGATGAAGACAACTATTTTGAGGTAGAGTGAACTGGAAACTTTTCCTGAATCTCTGTAATAGAAAAATAATGGTCTCCTAATAAGATCTAGAATCAATACAGACTTCTGGCTTTTGGCAGTAACCCCAGGGAAACATTGACCTGCAGTTGTTGGTCCTTTTCATGATGGAATAGAATGGTATACTACTTGGTCGATAAATATGAAAAAGCTGCCTTGTACTTTCACAAAGTTTTTATCAGTTTGTCCTTCAAGTCTAGCTGACAGCTGAAAAGGAAGATTGCCTGGAGAGAGATCCTTCCTTTAAAGCAAAGCATGCTAGGAAAAGAAAATAGTGAAGATGGAAAAGAACCTTGCATCTACCCCCAAATCCAAAGTAGAGATTTGTCAAGTGTATATTAATGTAGATTATTAATAATAGCCATTCTTTATCTCAAGTTTTTTTCACATTTAAGAATAAAGATTTTAATATATTGACCTGAATTACAAATTTTATAAAATTGGGGTTTTGCTTTATCCAGTTTTACTTAATATCTGCATGTTGTAAAGGGATACCCAGACTATAGACAATAGCACAATTAAAAAAAAAATTTTCCTTAAAGAATCACACAACTCTCTAAATTTCTGTTTGTCTCAGTTTAAATTATTTTCACAATAAGGGATTCCAGTGTTTTGATTATTAGGATAGTGTATATATATGTAACATAATTCAATAGTGAAGTATTTCTAGTCTGATACTTTTTTTTTTTTTTGATACCTTTGTCTTTGTATTTTTTTCCTGCATTTTCTAAAAGATTTTTGCTGTCTATTTAAATATAGTAAATCTTTTGTAGATTCATTGATTTTCATATTCCTCCCCTTAGGTTGAGGAATGGAGTAAAGTTTTGTAAAGTACAAAAGTTTCCTGAGGTATGATCTTTATTTTAACTCTATTTTGTATGGTAGAAACATAAAGCGTTAATGTAAAAGCCAGTGTAGTAATAAATTCTCTTAGCATGGTAGAAGAATGAAGTGGTCTATTGACCAGTTGTTATGCTTGCCTTATTAGGATTATTTATTTTTAACATATTTTGTTAAATCCCAGAGGTGCCCTTAACAGAGTGCTATGTTGAACATGGTTTAATCAAATATTGTAGCGTCTTGCAGGTATAAAGTGTAAAATTAGAAAAACAAATAGCATTGAACTAGAAATACTATGTTTCACCATTCCCTCATTTTTAACATCTCTGGAATCAGGTTATAATTGCAGGTTAATGTATAACCTTGACACTTAATTCAATATGAATACTTAATAGACTCCTTTATCTACCATATAAAACTAAATAAAATTTTGAATAATTGTACCTTACTGTGTAATTTCAATTTGATTGAGCACCTCAATTTCTTGCCAGTGGAATAAAATCTTAGTGTACTACATTTTACCATTTGGAATGCTTTTGGTCTTTTGTAATGAAAAATTAGGATTTTGAATTTTATTCTTTTATAGATTCTATGCATCCACCTTAAAAGATTCAGACATGAACTAATGTTTTCCACCAAAATCAGTACGCACGTTTCATTTCCATTAGAAGGCCTGGATCTTCAGCCATTTCTTGCTAAGGATAGTCCAGCTCAAATTGTGACATATGATCTTCTGTCAGTCATTTGTCATCATGGAACTGCAAGTAGTAAGTATGCAGTTTTGACTTTTGTTTTAGATTTAAAAAAATAAAACATCTGGGCCGGCACGGTGGCGCACTGCTACAGTGCGCCGCTTGGGAGCGCGGCGGCACTCCCGCCGAGGGTTCGGATCCCACATACAGACCGGTTCCCACTCACTGGCTGAGCGAGGTGCGGGCGCAGCACCGAGGGTTGCGATCCATTGCCGGACACGAAAAAAGACAAAAAGGAAAAAAAATAAAAAATAAAACATCTGAACTGATCCCTTAAATAAAGGCCTGATTTGACCAAAAGAAAAAATATTTAAAAAACAGGTTTTATGGCTAGTTATTAAAAACATGTGAGATAATTTTAGAAAATTGAATATTTTTTACTATGATGTTTGGAATATTGGAAATTAAATTGTGTAAAGTTAAATAAGGACTTTAACATGATCATTTTTACACTGGGTTTTTTAAGATTACATTTTCTGTTTTTCATTTCCTCAAGTGGTGGTGGTGTGGATCCATATTGAAAAAAATATGAGCACAATTTTTGTTATATCAGCTGCCGTGTTAGGCTCTTGGGATGCAAAAGTTTATCTTCCATTCTTGTGTTAATTTTGTATTACTGTAATGATTTTTTTCACCCCTTAAATTTAGGTGGACACTATATAGCCTACTGCCGAAACAATTTAAATAATCTCTGGTATGAATTTGATGATCAGAGTGTAACTGAAGTTTCAGAATCTACTGTACAAAATGCGGAAGCTTATGTTCTCTTCTATAGGTAATGGAAGTAACTCTCACAGATAAACTTCTTACAAAAATGAAAAAAACATCTCACTCTTTGGGGTTATTAGAGTAAAATTAAAAGTTGTATGCAGAATAATCAGGAAATGTTAAATTTCAGAAAATGTTAAATGTCCAGGAAATGTTAAATTTACTAAGGGAAAGGGATATCTTTTGTTTTAGAAGGATTGATTTTTTTGATGGTAGGAATTTAATTTTCTCCTAAAATATCTAATAATGGAGGCATTACTGTAAAAGTTTTTGGTATTTTTCAGTGTCTTATAAAAGAAAATGCTAGCTACTGAAACAAGAAAACAGATTAACTATTTAGCTGATCTTATTAACATTTGAATACTTACTATGTACCAGTAATTATATGGATGCCAGTAGCTAGGTTATAGTATTGTACCTAGGGGTGTAAAATGTTTTGCTGGGTCGGGGGAAGGGTGATACAAAGTATATTTCTTTTGAAATTTCCAGTACTTAATAGGATCCACAGTATTAATGTATGCTAAGTCTAATATAGTAAGATGCATATTGAATTTAAATAATCATTTTCCTTAATAGGAAGAGCAGTGAAGAGGCACAAAAAGAGAGGCGAAGGATATCAAATTTGTTGAACATAATGGAACCAAGCCTCCTTCAGTTTTACATTTCTCGACAGTGGCTAAATAAATTTAAGACTTTTGCTGAACCTGGCCCTATTTCAAATAATGACTTTCTCTGTATTCATGGAGGTAAGAATCAAAGCTCTAATTTCATGGTAGAGTCAGATACACAAATAGCTACTTACAGTACAGGGAGCTCTTCTATTATACATAATTTTTCTTAGCTGAGAGGCATTCCTGTGCTATTGATTTCAGCTACCAACTATATCCGTGGTTCTTGATCCTTTTGTCTAAATGAATAGCTGTCTTTTTTCCTGAGTATGGAAATGCATTTGGGATTTAATGAAAAAAAAAGCACCTCATATATTTATTCGTTAAGTATATTTACAGCTTTGTGATTGGCTATGTTAGTGTTTGTTCCTACAATAAGTAGGACCTCCGTGTGACACTCTTGATTAACCTTCACTGTTGGGGACTTAGTATCCTTGTTAAATTATGTTTTTGTGGGGCCGAGCCCGTGGTGCACTCAGGAGAGTGCGGCGCTGGGAGCGCAGCAGCACTCCCGCCGCAGGTTCGCATCCTATAAGGGATGACCGGTGCGCGCTCACAGCGCTCACTGGCTGAGCGCAGTGCGGCCGGTCTCAAAAAGGACAAAAAAAAAAAAATTATGTTTTTGTGAAACCACAAGGGATGACGATATCCTATGTTGGATTTAGAAACCTGAACTTTAGAAAATACTTGTCTGTGAATTTCAAGGTATATGTTTATCTTTAGGAAACATAATCACCAAAAATGCTTTATACTTCCCTTTTTGGGAGGATAGGGTTTAAGACTAATGATTGGCCAGTTCCTTAGTCATGAATAACCTTTGAAAGTAATATGAAAAGAGTAAAGAATGATACCTGTCTAAAATTTTTGTAGGTGTTCCTCCACGAAAAGCTGGTTATATTGAAGACCTGGTTCTGATGCTTCCTCAGAACATTTGGGATAATCTATATAGCAGGTTTGTTCTTTAGATCAGAGAACATACATGTGCCACATAAAAACATTTTGGTTAGCAATAGATTACATATACTACATTGGACCCATAAAATCATAATGGCAATACTATATAGCCTAAGTGTGTAGGAGGCTATACTGTGTAGGTTTGTGTAAATACAAACTATGATGCTCACACAATGGTGAAATCCCCTAACAATGGGTTTCTCAGGATCTTTCCATATTGCTAAGCGCCACATGACTATAGTTTTGTGAAAATCACTTGAACTGGTTAAAAGGGGATTGGCATTATTTCACAGATGCTTCTTATGCTGTATGTTGCTTATGTAAAATATCCCTTTTCCTTCATCTATTGTAGTGAAGAGTGAGTAAGAAGACATACAACTAGTATGGCCCTAGCCTACATACTTAATTCTCATTTTTGTTTTCTGATTATCTGTTGGTAAGGGTATGCTGTGATACTTAACTTTAAGTGCCTTATTTAAAAGATTTTGTATATTCCCAACACTGAAATTTTACATGTGTGTATACTCCCATGATTGAATATTCTTACTCTTAAATTTTGAAGTTTTAAATTTTATTTTAAAGCATTTTGCACAGTAATTTTCCTACTAAGTATGTTTTCCTTAGTTAAATATTAAAAGTAATTCATGCCATGAATGCTGCTTTCTTAGAGGCCAGGAGAAGCCTTCATCTAATTAAAACTTGACTAGGACTGTGTATGCATAACTAAGATTTATATATTGTATGCTATTTTTGAAAGCCACCTCTTTTATTGCCTCTAACATTTTATAGCAGAAGTAACTATAAGGAAAAGTTGAAATATAGATAAAACAGGTTAGGCAATAAACTGATAAAGTCATTGCTCCCAATAAACGTAAAAATCAAGTCCTTATAGGATTTTTTTCATTACTGTGAGAATTCTCCTTTAGACTCTAAAATGCTTTGTTTTTTTAAAATTTTCCTATGAGATTTATTGTTAATTGGGGATTTAGCAATGACTAAAACATTAGAAACCAATTTCTTGAATGTCATCTTTCTTTAAGATTGTGATAATCTTAATTCTTAAATTCTTCATGCTTTAGGTATGGAGGAGGACCAGCTGTCAACCATCTGTATATTTGTCATACTTGCCAAATCGAGGCAGAGAAAATTGAGAAAAGAAGAAAAACTGAATTGGAAATTTTTATTCGGGTAAAAAAAGTGATGCTTTTCAAATTGTAAATAATCTAGGATAAAGATGGAAGACCTGACAATTAGCAGAACTATATTATGTTAATGAAATGATTGGATGAAAGAGTTGTAATAGATTTCAAGTGTTCTGGGTACATAACAGTGAGTGACCTCGGGCAGTTCACTACAGTTCTAGTGAGTTAAGTTCTCCCTTTATAGGTTTTTGTTTTTATAGATTGGCAATAAATTTTGTTTTATGGCTTGTCACTGGCAAGAAATCTCCTTATTGAAATGGAAAGTTGCAGGTTTCCTTAAGTTAGTGTTGTCTACAGTCTGTTGAGACTGCATGCTCTGCTTCCATCTTTTTGTGAAATACAGTATTGTTTTGTTTTTTGGGCACTCTCTGCACTTAGAAAATATACCCAGTTTCCTCAAAGTGAGTATATTATGAGGCATTCCTTGATTGTAAGCAACAATAAGCCTGGTCACAGAATCAAAAAGCTGAACAATCAGGTTTTATAGACAAGAACCAGTACAGTTTCAATAATCTAGGTAGCAGGAAGTATCTTCAAAGTGTAGCTGCCGGTAATGTAGCTCCAACTATTTAAGACAATAAACTATTTAAGCTTGGGTCACCTGAGAGGCATGTTCATTGAGGTGGAGGGATGGTATTGCAAGAAAAAATTGGGATTCTTTTAGTAAAAGCACAGAGAAGATTTTGAGCAAATCAAAATTAGATGTCCAATACATTCCACGTTATCCCTGCCCAGCACGTGTGTGTGCTTCTCTTCTTCATTGATTCAGGGGTTTTTTGTGCCCTTGCCTGAAGTAAAGAAATTTTTACGTAAGAGAAGATATTATAAGTATGGATTTATTTTATTTATTTTGCTTGGACTTCACTGGCTTTCTGAATCTAAGGAAGCAAGTTTTAATTGAATATTAAGAATAATTTATTCTATCAGTGCTTAAATATGAGGGGGTCTTTAAAACGTTCATGGAGATATTCACACTATTTCAATTTAATTTTCCATGAACTTTTTGAAATACACTCAACGGCTAATGACTATATTCATCAGAGTTTGATTAACAGAAGACATTCTAAGTATTTTGAATAGAATTGGCATATAGGGAATGAGAGACTTAGGCAACTACCAAAAGGACCGGGCAGTCAAGGTCAAGAAGACTACTGCTGACTTTCAAGAAATCTGGGAGTGGAGTAGGCTGCTACACTTTAGGTGGAAGGGGGTCAGTGACTAAGAGTGGAGTTTCAGAGCCAAGACAGGGTAAAGAGAGCTTCTGTATAGTGGCATGAGCCCAGTCAATGGTGTTGGAGCTCAGGTAGGGTGAGAAGGTATGTTCATGTTGGCCAGAGATTGGTGGCGACAAAGGCACAGCATATTGGTGTTGGTGGCATTGAGGCTGATACCATATGGGGAATTGATCAAATAAGTATAATGAGAGCCAAATTCCTCATTGTCATGTAAGGAAGCTACAAATATGGAAAGGGAGAAAACTAAAATGTACTCTGTGTTATTTGATTGGAGTTGTAGGCATCTTTGTGAACTCATGGTGATAGCTAAATAAATATAGAGGTGTAGAGAAGGGTGTGTGTGTGTGTGTGTGTGTGTGTGCGCACGTGCGCGCGTGTGCACGTGTGCGTGCGGGGGTGGGTATGCAAATATAGAAAAATAGGATTGAGCATACCTAGCTCTCAGATCTTGGCTTCTAAACATCTTTCATGCCAGAAAGTAAAGAATTTCTTGAAGAATGATGAAGACATATCAAAAGTATCCAGAAGCCATGTGTGTGCGCACGCGCGCGCGCGTGCACGTGTGCGTGCGGGGGTGGGTATGCAAATATAGAAAAATAGGATTGAGCATACCTAGCTCTCAGATCTTGGCTTCTAAACATCTTTCGTGCCAGAAAGTAAAGAATTTCTTGAAGAATGATGAAGACATATCAAAAGTATCCAGAAGCCATCTTCACTGGTCTCCTACTGGCCAAATTTGGGACAATTTGAACTATAAAATAAATTATAATAACATAACAAAATAGGAGATGTTGCAACCATACTGATAAAAATAAGTAAATAGGGGCCGGCCCGGTGGCGCATTCGGTAGAGTGCGGCGCTTGGGAGTGCGGCGGCACTCCTGCCGAGGGTTCGGATCCCATATAGAGACTGGTCCGCTCACTGGTTGAGCGTGGTGCGGGCGCGACACCGAGGGTTGCGATCCCGTTACCGGTCACGAAAAAAGACAAAAAGGAAAAAAAAAATAAGTAAATAAATGGAAGGGATGAGGAGTGGGATATTTATGTTGTTTCAACTTCTTCCCCTCAAAATATTTATTCATTACAAAGAGAAAAGATAAACTTTCAGCAGAGAATCCTGGCATCACAGTTAAAATGAGCATCATTATAAATGGAACAAATCAAAATCGTGTGCCAGGATAGGATACAATGAGATGAACATGGCATTATTTCTTTGGTACACAGATGCATAACGTGAATTTCAAATGAAGAAAGTCAGACAAACCCAGATTGAGGGACATTTTCTAAACAACAAGCTGTTTGGAGGAAAGGAACATTTGTTCAGCAATTTATTCCGAAATTGGTCTAGGAAAAGAAAATTTTTTGTACTGTACTTGGAGTTTTCCTGTAAATTTGAGATTGCTTCTAAGTTAGAAAAAATTTGCATAAAGCCTCTGGAAATGATCTCGGCTGCCTGCCTGTGGTGATTATCAGGAGAATGCTCAAATACCTAAGCTGCTACTGATGATATCAGGACCCAGGTGCATTATGCAGAGGATGCCCAGTAGACACAAGATGCTGCTGTTAAAAATATTAGCTGCCGGGCCGGCCCGGTGGCGCACTGGATAGTGCGCCGCTTGGGAAGCGCGGCGGCGCTCCCATCCGAGGGTTCGGATCCCACATACAGACCGGTTCCCGCTCACTGGCTGAGCGAGGCGCGGGAGCAACGCCGAGGCTTGCGATCCCGTTGCCGGTCCCCGGTCCGGTACGGGGGCAACACTGAGGGTTGCGATCCGTTGCTGGACACGGAAAAAAGACAAAAGACCAAAAAAAAAATATATATATATATTAGCTGCCTACAATGCCAAATGAGATTGGATTCTTGGGAATATGCTTTGAACTGGTGGCAAAACCTTATTTGTGCCATCTGTGGAAGCCTCAAGCCTGCCCACAGTTGCCACCAGGGGGGAAAAAGTTTATTTTTCTTGTGCCTCTCAAATATTGCATATATCATTGGCAGTATCTAATCTGGGCACTGCCTACAAGGGAAAATGTAGGCTACTCTTTGCAGAAGAGAGTATAAGAATGAATGAAATGATGGTCATTGACAGGTAATAAAGTACAGATTGTCCCTTTGTCAACTCAGTGTCTGTATGCACTCATTCATCCAAACAACAGTAGCGACAGTAACATGCTTCTACCTAACATGATACAACTGGCTCATGCAGCAGTACATAATTTATTTACCCACTTCCTAAATTTGAGACACCCAAAGTTCCATCAGTCACTATGTAAATTTCTAGATGATGGTCATTCATCTTTTAATTTAATCAGTGTAGTCATAATCTCCCCTTTATAGTCTAATTTAAAGAATAAACTATAACCTTAACCATGAACAACATACTTTATAATAGTAGTGGAATGAAAGGAAGGGAAAAAAAATTTGATAATTGTTTTAAAATTGGTAAATATTTATTAACATGTATATGGAGCAAGAAAGACATATGTGTCTATGGCTGATCATTACCCATTCTGTATTCCCTGTGTTTTCAGCCAGGACTTCAGCTGGTTGTGATTGTGTTTACCTGGTAAAATAACCCAGACCTTTATTCTTGAAGGTTCTGAGCCCTTAGTAGGCTTCTTTGTTTTAAATTTTTTTTAACTTTTAACCTCTGGGTATGGAAATTCAAAACGGTGACTGTAGTAGTTTGGATGGTAGTCTCCAAAAAAATATTTCCATGCCCTAATCTCTGTGAATTGACCTTATTGGTGAATGTGACCTTACTTGAAAAAGGCTCTTTGCCTATGTATCAATTTTGAAATGAGATATTCCTGAATTATCTGCATGGGCCCTAAATCCAGTAAGTGTCCTTTTGAAGAGACGCACAGTAGAGAAATCCACAGAGAAGAGGAAAACCATGTGAAGAAAGAGACAGAGGTTGGAGCGATACAGCCACAGGCAGAAGCTTGAAGAGGCAAGAAGCAGAATCTCCCCTAGAGCCTCTGCAGGGAGCATGGTCCTGCTGGCACTACAATTTTGGAGTTCTGCTCTCTAGGAGACAGAGGTTGGAGCGATACAGCCACATGCAGAAGCTTGAAGAGGCAAGAAGCAGAATCTCTCCTAGAGCCTCTGCAGGGAGCATGGTCCTGCTGGCACTACAATTTTGGAGTTCTGCTCTCTAGAACTGTGAGAGAATAAATATCTTTTTCAGCCACCAAGTTTGTGGTGATTTGTTAGAGCAGCCCTCTAAAACTAATACAGTAGATATAATCTCCTAGTTTGCAGACATAACCCTCTTTGCATCTATTGTATAGCAGTCATTTTATTTACCCTTTATAACTGGGATCAATCATTATAGTCATTACTGTAACCCCTCTTTGCCTGTTAGTTCAGTGACATGAGAAACCCAAAATGGCTAGGGGGCTGTCTCAACTTCCATTCAAGAAAAACCACTGTTGTGTCCCCTTGGGGAATAAACCCTCCGAACTAGTAGAGGCCAAAGTTGTGGGGATGGGAAGCAAAGCTTTTGTGAGAGTGTCAGTAGGTAGTAATAGACTAGTTCTTCCACTTTACCCAATTCCTAGCGTTATGTGTCCTGGTTATGGGAAAAACCACCATATATTGGTTTCTAGTTTGGAGCACATACCACATCATGTAGGGCAGTCCCAAACCCACACGGTGTTGCTACCCAGGCACAAGAACTGAGTGTTCAGTAGGCCGGCAGCTTTTGGGTGATAGTCCATGGTAAGATCAGTGAAGCTAATGAATGTGAGCCTATTTCTTTCTTTTGTGTAAAATGAATTCTGTGGTCAGAAATAGTGTGGGATATTATGGCAATGAATGAGACATTCAGTAAATCCAAGAATGGTGTTAATGGGAGAAACATTGAGAATTAGGAAGGTAGACTTAAAATCAGCATTAAGTTGTAGGTATTTGCAAATCACATTACCAGAGGACTAATATCCAGACTGTATAAAGAACCTGTACAATTTAGTAGGTATATAAATTTTCCAATTAAAAAACAGGCAAAAGATTTAAATAGACATTACCCCTAAGAAGATACAGCTAAGAAGCACATGAAAAAGTACACAATCTCAGTCATTAAAGAATTCTCATGAATATTGATGGAGGGGATGCAAAGTGTTTTGTGCCAAATGAGAAATAGGAAGTTTCTTGTAGGTTTGAAATTTAGCACATGACCGAGCAATCACGCTTCTAGGTATTTATTCCAGAGAAATGAAAACTTACCTTCATATAAAACCTGTAAACTTTTATGGCAGTATTGCTCATAATTGCCTCAAATAATTGAAATGTCAGTCAGCTGATGAATGGATAAATGTGTTATATCCATATAATGGAATACTACTCAGCAATAAAAAGATCATGGACTACTGATTCATGCAACAACATGGATGAATCTCAGAAACATTATGCCAAGTGAAAGATGAGTATAAACGACTATACTATTTAATTTCATTTATATGAAATTTCTAAAAAGGAAAAAAACTGAAACTAGATGATTGGGTTCAAGGACTGAGAGCAGGGGACTGATTGCAAACTGGTGCAGGGGAGCTTTTTGAGATGTTGGAAATATTCTAAACGACATTGTGGTGACAGTTGCACAAGTATGAATTTACTAAAAACCACTGAACTTTACACTTAGTGGGTGGATGATACCTTAATAAAGCTGTTTTTAAAAATGCAAGTCTATGGTTATTCCATAACACTAGGGTTTTTTGTTTGATTCCACCACCCCCCCATTTTTTTTTAACAAAAGTATTAGTATATAAATAGAAATGGAGTACAAAAATAGGTGCCCTTGGTGGACCAGAAACTAAGTGAAGTTTCTAAAAAATTGAAAAAGCAGGTAGTTGAAAAGCCGATCAGAGAAGTAAACCAAAGACCTTGGGAAATGACCACACTGGCTTCAAGCTTAGAAGTGGCAGATACCAATGATGACCTCAGCATTCTACCCCCTGCATTGTATCTGGCAGCAAGCATAAAGGTGTCTGCCTGGATAGGGCAGTGAATATGAACAGATGAAGTATGATTGATCCTCAGGTAGATGCATAAGGATATCGTATACTGAAAAAAATAAAGGGTTAATTGAATGGCAGAATAACTACCGCTGGACAGCAAACTAGTGTGCTGAAAGATCTAGCAGAAGTAGTTCTAAGATGAAGCACAGAGGATGAACAAATGGAAAGCAAGAGGAAAAGTTTTGACATGTTGGATAGATATAGAATCCAGTATTTTTCTGGGCTGGCCAGTTAGGCCACTTGGGAGAACGTGGTGCTGAGAATACCCAAGGTTGTTCAGGTTCCTGTACCAGCCAGCAGACAAAAAAAAAAAACAAAAAACAATATTTTTCTAATATGTATTTTAGAAGAGAGAATTGAGGCAAAGAACTACTTTTAGAGCAACAATTGAATGAAGTTTTCCAGAACTAGAAAAAAACATGTCTTTAAATTAATGGGGTAATTGTGCTTAACTGAATTTTAAAAAGCCCCCACTTAGACACATAAAGAAGAAACTTCTAATAATCAAAGATAAAGTAAGTTCTGAAAGTATCCAAATCTTGTAATGGTATGAACTTAATGGATGTTACAATTCAGCATCTGGCAGAATCAGTCTGACATTACATTTCAGAAATCCAGTTCTCTAGGGACAAATTGTATATCATAGAAAGTCCTAACTTTAATTCTACGCCTTGAGACAAACTTGCCTGATTTCTTTGTTAAGCATCAGGGATAGCCACAGCATTTTTCATTCCCTTTCATTTTTCTGTTGAAGGAGCTGCCTTGTGTCCCAAAAAGATCCTTGCCCTCAAAAAGTTTACATTTAATGAATAAGTTATACAGTATATTAAAAGGTCATGAGTACTATGGAAAATGAAAGTATTGAACAGGAAGAGAGAGCATAAGTATAACAGTAGTGAGGGGAGGACTCAGGTTGCAATTTTATTATATTTTTTTGTTGCTGGCCGGTACAAGGATCGAACCCTTGGTCTTAGTGTTATGAGCACCGTGCTCTAACCAACTGAGCTAACCGACCAGCCCCCAGGTTGCAATTTTAAACAGGATGGTCAAGATAGGCTTCACTGAGAAGGGGACATTTAAGTAAAGACTTGAAGGAAGTCAGGAAGATAGTCATTAAGATATCTGCAAAAGGAAGGGACAGCCAGTGCAAAACCCTTGAGAGGCAGGAATATATTTTGTTGGTTCTGAGAATAACAAAGAGGTCAGTGTGACCACAAGTGAGAAATAAGAAAGAAAGTATTAGAAGATGATGTCAGATCATGGGGCCAGATCATGGAGGTATTTCTGGGCTTTTACAAGGATATTTGAACTAGGGTTTTGATTAAATTTGATTAGAGGAGTGGCATAAGCTGAACTTGGTTGTTTTTGTCCATAGGTATTATGTACCATGGAGATTTAGTTGCCCATCATGAAATATTCTCACGAGTCTTACACACTACTACAATTAAATAAATTCCAAATGCCCTAATTTCCCGTAGGCTGTGTTGCCTATACCTTTTTTTTTTTTTAAACTAGTCTTTTTGTCAGTTGGATTTATTTAGTTGGCAAGTGGTAGAAGCCAGACTGGCTAACTTAAGCAAAAAAGAAATTTATTGGAACGAAAAGTTGAATAACCAGATCTCCAGAAGTTTGAGAACCAAGGTAGCCCTGGGTATCTAGCTAACAAGAATTGACTTTGGAATGATGCCGTTCTAACTTCTCTGCAGATTTCCATTTTCACGGAGTGCCTGGTTTGAGCCACATATCCATTTCTTAGGCCGTAGGGCTGGAGGAGGGAGTAGAACATTTTTAGGGACTGTCCCACCGCTTCTGAGAATTTGCCTATACATATATGTGTACTGCCTGTGAGATGACATGACATGCAGCACTGTATTGGTAATAGCAGATTGTCTGCCAGTATGTTAAGTGAACAAAAAGTAAGTGTAGATAGTGGATATAGTATGTTTAAATAAAGTTTACACATTAGATCTTTAATAATTATATGGAGTATTTATTGTTTTGAAGACTTTGCTTTGACCATCTTATCCAATCTTTTATGTCCCTTTTATGTGTGCTTGTTAAATTTTTAAACAGAACCTTGAATTGTTTAATAATAAGTGCTACCACATATCCTAATACTAAGATAACTTAGCATCAGTGTACGTCTTACTGTGGTACTACATTCTGTGTGTATGAAAAATTGGCCTTATAAGATGCGGAAAGAGAATGATTGCATTGTTCTATTGCAATGCAAATTCTAACTATTAGGTGACTATTCCCTCCCCACCCCCCCGCCCACAGCTCAACAGAGCATTCCAAGAGGAGGACTCTCCAGCTACTTTTTATTGCATCAGTATGCAGTGGTTTAGAGAATGGGAAAGTTTTGTGAAGGGTAAAGATGGAGGTAAGTGGTCAACTGAAAAATCAAATTCTTTGTAAATTTTTTGTTTATTCACTTGGCAAATATTTCTTGAATATCAGTATGCATTTGGGATTACACCAGTGAACAAAAGATAAAAAAAAACATCCTTGCCTTCAGGGATCTTACGTTCTAGTTTATGTTTTGGTTGTTTTTAATTTTTTTGAAATGTATTTTATGAATTATAACATATTTGTAGCAGGAATAAAGTAACTGAACAAAACTAGTCTGTGATCTTAGTATTGAAAAATTAAAAAAAATTCTATATAGCCATAGGAAATTGCTTAAATTATCCAATACAATGAGATACTATGTAGACTTCTAAAATAATTTTGAATGACAATATTTGATAATTTAAAATAAGATGTTTTTGATATATAAAAAAAGTTACAACACAGTATGCATAGTTTAGAACCTTCATATTAAAAAATAGCAAACATATAAAGGCAAAAAGACCACAGCGATATTAAAATAGTTTGTCTACCCGTCTGCAGTGGTCTAACAATATATTTTTTTCTTTAGGCCTTTTTTTTTTACAGCTTTTGATAATGATCATTCACTGTACTTGTGTATTCAAGTGAAAAACAAATAAGTTTCCTTAAATTAAAAAAGGATGTATTTTAAGGTTTCGTTTTATGTTTGTTTTTAATTTACTTTAAGTAATGACAGTCTGAAACAAATTAAGAATTATGTAATTTCCTTTTAATGGAATTATTCTTTTATAGCAGCAAAGGTACATTTTGACCTGTAATCCCCAAATGGGTAATTGAGAAATGACTTTTTTTAAGATTTTGGATGGTAGTGAGAGAGTCTCCCTAACCTTCTCTCCTGGTTCTATTTTCGGACTAACTAAGACCCAAAAAGAAGGATGCTCAGGAGAAGACATTAAGAATTGACTATAGGGCCGGCCCAGTGGCGCACTGCTACAGTGCGCTGCTTGAGAGCGCAGCGGCGCTCCCGCCGAGGGTTCGGATCCCACATACAGACCGGTTCCCGCTCACTGGCTGAGCGAGGTGCGGGCACAGCACCGAGGGTTGCGATCCCGTTGCCGGTCCCGGTCCAGTACGGGGGTGACACTGAGGGTTGCGATCCGTTGCCGGACACGAAAAAAGACAAAAAAAGGAAAAAAAAAAAAAAGAATTGACTGTAGAGCTGGGCGGTTAGGTTAGCTGGTCCTTGTACTGCCCACCTCCCCCCCCCCCCAAAAAAGAATTGACTATAATAATTTTCCTGAAAAGTAACCAATCTGATTATATAGTTAACAGCTCTCAATTATTTCAGGCACAAAATTATGCTGTTCTTTAGTGCATTTCTTTGAAAAGTGTGCATTTTGATCATTTTCTTTCCTTTCAACTTAGATCCTCCAGGACCCATTGACAACACTAAAATTGCAGTCACTAAATGTGGTAATGTGATGCTAAGGCAAGGTAAGTTTGACTAATATTTAAGCTTTTACTTGTTAGTAATTTGTCATTGTTAGGAATATATCAGCACTAGCTATATATGGTACTTTCTTACCGTGCTCAAGAATGTAATTCATACACGAACAAGGACAGATAGTGGAAAACAGTCAGTGTTTAATTTTTATCTGATGAAGGATTTAAAGCTGTTAGTAGGAGCTGGGAAAAATCATCTCCAACTTTTTAAGGTAGATCATATGTTGCAGCTTATAACAATATGGACTGGTAGTCTGAAGATACTACAAGTTCTTAGTTATCCCTAGAGGATTTATGCTGGGGGGGTACATTATGAAAGCTTTTGCAGTATGAATATGTATAGGTTTGTAAACATTTTTTCTATATACACATAATTTTAGGAGCAGATTCTGGCCAAATTTCTGAAGAAACGTGGAATTTTCTGCAGTCTATATATGGTGGAGGGCCTGAAGTTATCCTCCGACCTCCAGTTGTTCATGTTGATCCTGATGTACTGCAAGCAGAAGAAAAAATTGAAGTAGAAACTCGGTCTTTGTAATATTGAAGATACAGAGAGTTCTAATGAGAAATAATTTTCACTTCCCTGACATATATACATGCAAAAACATTCCTACAAGCATGTTTATTTTCTTGATTTTTCATCTTTTATCCCATTTATTCCTTTGTACTGGGCATTATGAAAGAATATGTTAAAACGTGTAATATACTACAGGTTGGTATATTCATTGCTAACTAACTTACCATAAAGTCTTACAGTGTAATATTTTTGAAAGAGAAGGGACAGTTGTGATCAATTGGTAATCAGTAGGTTATCTTTGATCTTTGTATTACATGCAGATTTATAGTATCCTTTGTAGTGTTGTAAATACTTTTGCTTTGAAAACTTTTTCATTACCCTAGACTACCATAACTGACCAATCTTTTCATTTCTCCAAAAACCTAATTCAATTGTACAGTTTTGACATGGCTTCGTATACTAAAGAGCCTATTTTAAATTGAGAGTAGTAGAAAATTGTTGTCAATTTCCTAAAGCTCAGGAAACATTAGTGTGTTACTTCTTTTGCACTGCAGTAGATAAACTAGCATATTAAAATTTACAAAATGTCTTTTTTGAATGAATCAAGGATGTATTTAGTTTGAGTGGAATTTATCAGCAGATCTTAGTAACTTATTGCTGCTTATATTATAAAATGTTAAAATTCAGTTTCTATAACCCTGAATAGTATTCATTAATGGCAGTAACTTAAAAACTTAGAATTAGTTTCAGGGCACTTTCTATTTTGAGAGCATGAAGTGTGGAATGTGTCAGTGAGATTGTTGATAAAGCTGAAGCCACTTGCAAAATAACTTAAAATGCATAAAGTCTTTTTGAATAATATGGTATGCACTGCTCTTTGCTTGATTATGTAATGTTAAAAGTTTAACTATATTCCAGGTACAAAAACATAACAGATTACATTGAGGATATTGAATAACATTCATGATGGCTTTGTTTTTGTTAGGGGACGATGTCACTAGCTAAAGCAATGTTGTTAAAATTAGCCCAATAAAAATGATTTTAAAATGTATAACTTGAAGGGTGTAAAGTTTGTTAATATTAATGCCTTGTTATTTCTTAATCAGAAGTATGCAAATAAGTCATTCAGTGTAAAGTTTTGATTTTTAATGAAGTGATGAACTTACTAATCAATCTTTTAAGATTAGTTTTTTATTTTCATTATAGTTTTTAGTTTTCTTCTTCCTCATAATTACACCATGATCTTCCATAAGGATTGAATGCTATTATTGATCTGTCTCTGAATCACCAGAATTTAGTGTAATGCTTGGCACTTAGTAGTTAGTCAAAAAAAGCTTTATTTCTGGGCCGAGCCCGTGGCGCACTCGGGAGAGTGCGGCGCTGGGAGTGCAGCAGCGCTCCCGCCGCAGGTTCGGATCCTATATAGGGATGACTGGTTCGCTCACAGCGCTCACTGGCTGAGCGTGGTGCGGCTGGTCTCAAAAAGGACCAAAAAAAAAAAAAAAAAGCTTTATTTGTAATAGTGCTTGCCATTTATCAAATACTTAATGATGTTTCAGTTACTCTACTGAAGTGCTTTAGTCCTCATACCAACGCTTTGACTGAGGTTAAGTAGCTTGCTCCTCATCACACATCAGAGAAGTGCAACTCAACTCAGTGTGACTTCATACCAATGCTCTTACTATGAATAAGAATTCATTTCCCAGTGAATTCCTTTGAAAGTGGTTATGGTATCTGTTACTTTCATTAATAGAAACATCTGTTATTGGGATATATAATAATGTAAAGAATACTGGTCTCTAAGAGCTTATAATGTTATAATTGTCAAAATATTTAATACGGTAAGTAAAGGGATAGCAGTACCACAGAGTCTTAGCTGTACCATAGACTCTGATGTAAACCATAGACTCTTAGCTAAAGGTTGGCCTATAAATGGTTTCTCTGAGGGTGATTTTCTTAGAAATTCTTAAGCTGAGAAATAGGAAAATTGCAGTTAAAGGACAGTGAGAGCCTACATGTGTCAAAGAATTCATTGATTTATAACATGAAGGTAATTAGTTTTTTGGTCCTGGAGTCAAATTCAAATTCTAGAAGCTATTTCACCTTCCAGCATGATTTGGAACAATATTTAAAGTTCTCTAATTTCCAGTTTTCTTCATTTGTTAAATGAGAATGTTGTAGTTTGGGTTTTCCAGGAAGCAGACACCAAGATGTTAGGATTGCATATGATTTGTTGGGGAGCATCATAGGTGGAAGAAAATGAGAGGAAGCAGGATTGAGCAGAAGCAGTTACCAGAGTGATGCAGACCGGATAAAATCTCTGCCAGCCTCATAAGGATATTGGAAGCTTTGGTTATCCATTGGATGGGTCCTGTGTTGGGTGGACTTGGCTAGGCCCTTGTACTATCACTAAACCTTGTTCTGTCACTGACTAATGGCTACCTGCAGGAGAGAGTATACTCAGCTTGACCCTGTAGTAGGTAACAGCTAGAGGCTGCCAGCCAACCACATTCCTCTCAACTGGGCAGCAAGTGCTTCCTTGAAGAGGGGTCTGAACAACAAATCTCTGTGTCTGCCACACTCAGTCATAGGATTATGATAATTATTTGTGTGTTATATATAATGTACTTAACATAATTGGTACTCTATGATATAATCCCTTATTTGCTTTCTCCTCTTTAAAATTTGTAACTTCTAAAGACACATTATGTAATAGCCTTGCCAAAAATATTTAATCTAAATCTAATGAGGGGGGTAAATCAAGATAATTTTTTAAAAGGCACATTAGACAAACACAGTTTTCCTGGACTTGTAAAAAAAATGGTGTTATGACAGACAAAGCGTAGATGAAAATTAAGAGAACATGACAACTAAATGCAATGTGTGATCCTCGACTGGATCCTGGATTGGAGGAAATTATTTATAAGGAACAATATTGGAACAGTTGGGGAAATTTCAATGTAGAATGCATATTAGTTAATAATATTATATCAATGTTAAGTTTCTTGAGTGTGATAACTAGTAATATAGGAGAATGACCTTGTTAGGAAATATACGCTGAAATGCTAAAGTTTTTAGGGTTAAAGTCATTCTAATGTGTAATACACACACATAGGAAGCAAATGTGGCAAAATGCTAATTGATGAATCTAGGTGAGTAGTGTAGGGGTTTATTTTATTCTTGGAACTTTTCTGTAGCTTTGAAATTTTTCAAAATAAGACGTTGGGAGTCAAAAAAAAAAAACGAAAAAAAACTTTTACTGTCCCCCTACAATTTTTGTTTTTTTTTTTTTTTTT